TCATATTATAATTCGAAGAAATTAAATCAAGTAAGTTATTTAATTAATTTTTTGTGTTATTGTTATTTATTTAAATCAGATTTTAATTTTGTTTTGTAACAAAATAAAATCTGTTTTATTGATTATTTATTATTTAGAGTTTGATTTTTGTAATCAAACAAATTCTCTCATTTTCTTTATTTCTTTAAATTCTAGTTGTTGTTTTGTACACAATAGAATTAAATCTTTTAAATACAGTGAAGATTGTCCAACAATCTTAAGACAGAATCCTTTTTGGTATCTTCATTGTATTTAATTTTCTGTGTTTTCAAAGTAATATTCTGGTTGGAAAACAAATAGTGATTTATGCTATTTGACAGATAGTAGTAATATACTGTCTCTTTTCTTTGACAAACTAGTAGTAATATACTGGTGTCATTAACAATTGCAGAATATTATTTGGTATTACATAAAATTATTGTGATATTTTATTTTTCTAGTTTTAGTAACAAAGAAAATAAAATTATTGTTGTTATAATTATTTTCTGGTTTTTAGTAACTAGAAAATTAATTTGTGTTTTAATTTTTTCTGATTTTTTTAATCAGAGATATGGCTACTGCAACTGAAACTGCATCTAGTAGTGGTACTCCTATTGTTACACCAACACCCGGTCGAAACCATGTTCATGTACTAATCAATCATGGAGAAAAACCGGAAAATTTAATGGTACCGAGTTTAAGAGATGGCAGCAGAAGATGCTCTTCTATCTTACGACTCTTAATTTGGCCCGGTTTCTCCATGAAGAGGCTCCAGCACTTAAAGAGGGTGAAGTGATCGGCAAGTTGTTGCCGCTGTAGATGCTTGGAAACATTCAGATTTCTTGTGCAGAAACTACATCCTAAATGGCCTTGACAATATGCTGTATAATGTATACAGTCCAATGAAAACAGCAAAAGAATTGTGAGATTCTTTGGAGAAGAAATACAAGACAGAAGATGCTGGCACAAAGAAATTTGTCGTCGGTAAATTTCTGGATTTGTTATGGTAGACTCCCAAACGGTAATATCTCAAGTTCAAAGTTTTCAAATAATTTGCATGATATTCATTCAGAAGGTCTGTCTCTTAGCGAGTCATTCCAAGTCGCTGCTTTAGTGGAAAAGTTACCACCGGCTTGGAAAGATCAAAAATTATTTAAAACATAAACGCAAAGAGATGACTATAGATGAATTGATTGTAAGATTAAGAATTGAGGAAGATAACCGAAAGGCTGAAAAGAAGAATGAGAAAAATCCCATCGAGTCCAAGGCTAATGTGGTTGAACAAGTTTATAAACCACATAACAAAAAGAGGAAGTTTACTGAGATGGTCCTAAACAAGGCGATAGCAACAAGAAGTTCAAAGGAAAATGCTATAACTGTGGCAAAACTGGACATCGAGCTTCTGACTGCCGCCGCCCCAGAAGAATCATGGAAGTACAAGTAAGAGACCACCTGTAGACACCCCATTTTTGACCTGCCTCAAGACTTGGACGTCACCGGTGGGGACACTCGGGGATCATCCATGTTCGTGTTCGTTTTGAGTTCCCGGAGGCCTTGGTTGTGCGCCTTGCCTCAGGATCTCTCAACTTGTCGTCTTGCGTTTGGTTTCGCCACAAATACTTGTGTTTTTGCTTTGAGGGGTAGAATCGGCTGTTGACCATCTCCCACACAAAAATAAGTGGTCTACATCTGCTTAGTTGATTTGATCATGTTTTGACTGCTTCCAATGATAAGCATGTCATCCACATAAAGACAAACTATGACATATCCTTGGTCAGTGTTTTTAACATAGACGCATTTGTCACATTCGTTTATCTTAAACCCATTAGTAAGCATTGCATGATCAAATTTTTCATTTTTTGGTATCTTCATTGTATTTAATTTTCTGTGTTTTCAAATTAATATTCTGGTTGGAAAAACAAATAGTGATTTATGCTATTTGACAGATAGTAGTAATATATTGTCTCTTTTCTTTGACAACAACTAGTAGCACGATACTGGTATCATTAAGAATTCAGAATATTATTTGGTATTACAGAAAATTCTTGTGATATTTTATTTTTCTAGTTTTAGTAACAAAGAAAATAAAATTATTTTGTTGTTATAATTTATTTTCTGGTTTTAGTAACTAGAAAATTAATTTGTGTTTTAATTTTTTCTGATTTTTTTAATCAGAGATTATGGCTACTGCAACTGAAACTGCATCTAGTAGTGGTACTCCTATTGTTACACCAACACCGGTCCAGAACCATGTTCATGTACTAATCAATCATGGAGAAAAACCGGAAAAATTTAATGGTACCGAGTTTAAGAGATGGCAGCAGAAGATGCTCTTCTATCTTACGACTCTTAATTTGGCCCGGTTTCTCCATGAAGAGGCTCCAGCACTTAAAGAGGGTGAAAGTGATCGGCAAGTTGTTGCCGCTGTAGATGCTTGGAAACATTCAGATTTCTTGTGCAGAAACTACATCCTAAATGGCCTTGACAATATGCTGTATAATGTATACAGTCCTATGAAAACAGCAAAAGAATTGTGAGATTCTTTGGAGAAGAAATACAAGACAGAAGATGCTGGCACAAAGAAATTTGTCGTCGGTAAATTTCTGGATTTGTTATGGTAGACTCCCAAACGGTAATATCTCAAGTTCAAAGTTTTCAAATAATTTTGCATGATATTCATTCAGAAGGTCTGTCTCTTAGCGAGTCATTCCAAGTCGCTGCTTTAGTGGAAAAGTTACCACCGGCTTGGAAAGATTTCAAAAATTATTTAAAACATAAACGCAAAGAGATGACTATAGATGAATTGATTGTAAGATTAAGAATTGAGGAAGATAACCGAAAGGCTGAAAAGAAGAATGAGAAAAATCCCATCGAGTCCAAGGCTAATGTGGTTGAACAAGTTTATAAACCACATAACAAAAAGAGGAAGTTTACTGGAGATGGTCCTAAACAAGGCGATAGCAACAAGAAGTTCAAAGGAAAATGCTATAACTGTGGCAAAACTGGACATCGAGCTTCTGACTGCCGCCGCCCCAAGAAGAATCATGGAAGTACAAGTAAGAAGACCACCTGTAGACACCCCATTTTTGACCGTCCTCAAGACTTGGACGTCACCGGTGGGGACACTCGGTGATCATCCATGTTCGTGTTCGTTTTGAGTTCCCGGAGGCCTTGGTTGTGCGCCTTGCCTCAGGATCTCTCAACTTGTTCGTCTTGCGTTTGGTTTCGCACCAAATACTTGTGTTTTTGCTTTGAGGGGTAGGGAATGGCTTGTTGACCATCCCCACACCCCATCGGCCTTCCATTTGCATCACCGGCCATTAATTGCTGACACCGGCCATGGTTTCTTAATACCAATGGCTGGTCGGCACTCCATATGGCCGGCCGGCTATCTGTTTGGCCGGCAACCTCCTTTTTTGGCCGGTAACACCTTTTTGCCTTCTTCAGGCATGGTGTATGCCAGCTGTGCCAGCTGGAATACACCAAACATACCCCGGGGCTAACATGTGGCTGTTTTTCCCTTTTGCCCCCTTTTGGTCAAAGCTTCCTCTAGAAGCCTGGCCAGCTGTCTTAGCTTCCTCAAGAAGCCTTGACCTCGTTGCCTCCTTTGCCCCATTTTACTTAGCTTCTTTGAGAAGCTTAGAACCATTTCTTTTGCCTATATAAGCACCTCTCTTCTTCCATTGTAGAGGGTTAGAGATTTTGAACAAAAAAACCAGAGATTATACATATATGCATCTGTCATATACTCTCTCTCTCTCTATATTTCCCTCTCTCTCATCCTTAGTGTGTGCTTGGAGGCCTAGAAAGTGTGTTTTGACCTTAGTTTTGCACTAAGACACACACCATTACACCTTGCTTCGACCTTGAGGGGCTTTGAGGGTTTGTTTTTGAAGTTTTGGACTGATTTTGGTCAGAAGAGAGTGGCTGGAC